CCCAGATCTCCCCATAGCTCCCCATATCTCCCAGACAGCCTGCCGCAGCGAGATGCGCAGATCCATCTCGAGGTCGGCGCCGCGTCGGGTGAAAGCCGCGTGGCCCTCCGATCGGAGCCGCAGGAGGACGTCCCCGGGCACCTAAGCTCGGGTACTCTCGGGTGATCTCGGGTGATCTCCCCGTCCGACCGCCACTGCAGCTAAGCTCGGGTCATCTCGGGTGATCTCGGCCGAGAGGCCCTCCAGAAGAGCCCTCGCCCGAGACTCGCTCGATGCGGCGACAGTGTGGCCGCCAGTGGCATCGCGCCATGCACCGCGCTCAGCGCCACCAGACGAGCGTTCTGAGCCGGCGCCTCGCCCGGGTGCACCACGATCTCGGGCAGTCTCCCCCCGAGATTGCACCTCGCCCGGCGACTGCTCCGACGAGCGCTCGAACGTGACCGCCGTGTCTTCCTCGGCGCCTAGGTGGCGAGAGATGGGGGAGGTGGGGGGAGATAGGGGGAGGCGAGTCGCCGCCGCGTCTCCTTCGGTAAGGATGAGGGTGGGGGCGGCAAGGCGGCAGCGAGGGCGGCGGGGGCGTGGTAGGTGGCGGCGACGGCAGCAAGGATGGGGGTGGGGGTGAGCTAAGGGCGGTGTGGCGGCGAGGGCGGCGGTGGAGACGGTGGTGACGAGGCTCGAGGGTGGCGGCGGCGGTGACGGAGGCGGCAATGGCGGCGGGGCGGCGGCGGGGGCGCCTCGCTCGATGACGGCGTGCAGCGTCTTGACCTCCTCGCGGCAGAGCTGCTCGGACGGCACCTGCACCTCCTCGTTGATGAGCATCGGGCCCATCCGCCGCTGCACCACCTTGGTCTCCGCGGGGCAGCTTCGTGAGCAGCTGCTGCAGCGTGGGTGCGCCTCGTGGCCGCGGCAGCCGCGGCAGACGACGCGCCGCCGCACATTTGCGCGGACCGTGCCGCCCTTGTAAAAGTCCTCGAGCGGCGCGCGCACCGTCACCTCCACCGGCGCGCCTGCGGGGCGCAGAACACGCTCTTGGGGCCTGGGTTGTGTCTTTCTGTCAATGTCTTTCTGTCAATGGTTCTGTCAACACGCGTGAGGCCGCCCTCGGAGTCGCCGTCCTGGGGCCGCGTGCTGCCTTCGGACTGCCGTCGCCGTCTCTCCCTTCTCGGCTGGCTGTGCGTGTGCGTCTCGGGCCCGGGGCTGTGCTGTTGTGTGAACTCGCCAACGTGAGGGCGGGGAGACGTGTGGGGAAGGCAAGGAAGAGCACCGCGTGAACACAACAGATTGCGGGCGTGCCGGGCCTGCGCGGCGGAGAGGTGAGGACGACCCACTCCGCGTGTACGTACTGGACCCCGTCCGCCGCCGTCCCCTCCGCCGACTCGACCATCGGGCCAGCAACGACCACCGCGTACCCGAGCGCCGCCACCGCGCGCGCCGACTCCGCCGCCTGCGTCCGCTCGTCAAAGAGCGCGCCCCGGTCGAGCGGGTCCCACGCCGCGCCCTCCGCCTCGCTGCCGACGTAGAAGAGGACCCTCTCCCGCCGCTCCGCGCCGGTCAGCTTTGGCGGCGCCGCGCCGCCCCCGCCCTCCTTCTCCGGCCTCTCGATGCCCGACTGTCCATCGGAGGGCGCGCCGCCGACGTGCCCTGCGAGCAGCAGCGGCCGCGCGCCGAGATCACGCCGCGCGAGGCGCGAGGTGGTCGGGGGCGGGGCGCGTTTAACGATGATCCGGCGCGGAACCCGCCCAGGTCAGCCCGCGCCGCCTCCGCAACGGCAGCGGAGCCGAAGCGGCACGCCGAGAGTCACAGCGGCGAGCAGGCTGCCCGACGAGCGGTCGGGCGCCGCACCGCGCCGGAGGGATGCATGGAGGAGATGCTGGAGCGTGGACGAGGCATAGCGGCGAGGGGGGCGAGAGCGAAAGCAGGCGGTGCGAGCAGCAGCGCTGGAGCGCCCGTCCAGTGTGGGCAAATAAAGAAAAATGCGACCGCCCCGAAAAAAAGGGTTGGGAAATCGATAGGGAATGGGCTGGGAGCCCCAGAAACGGCCCTCTACTTTTTGGGGGCTGGTGCGAGGCGAGGCGAGGCCTGTGTGGCGGCTTCCTGGAGGGGCTAGGAGAGGGGCGGGTTTGGCGGGAGAGGGGTCCGCGGGCGGCGCGAGCGGGCGTCCGGTAAGCTGTGGACGGGTACGTGCGTGGTTTTGCGAGCTTCGACCGCGGGGCGGCGCCGTGGCCGTCGGGAGGCGAGGAATCCCGCAGCTGTTGTCCCGCACTGCTGCAGGCCGCCTGGCAGGCGGTGTCATGGCGCCCCGTGAGGTGCGCGGGGGAAGCCAGCGGCGCCGGGCCTGCCGGGCGGGGGCGGGCGGGGGCGGGGGCGGCGAGGTGGGCCCGTGCGAGCTGCTTTAGCACCCGAAATAAAGTCGTCGCCCAAAGTCGAGCAGAGGGCCTGAAGATTTGCAGCATGCGCGGGGATGGTCATGGTGGTCGGTGGTTTCATCGGACGAGGACGATCCTGGGGGCTGCGGACGTCTCCTGCCGATTCTCCGCACGGCTGTTGGTCGCGGGTTGCGCGGGTCGCTCGTGGGGCGGCGTGGGGTCCGTCCTCCCGCGGGCTCTGAAGCGAGGCGATTTTCGCCCTCCCGCGTCGACGTTTTGAGGGCCTTCCCGAGGGCTTCAGGCGGTGCGGGTTTGATGGGGCGGCAGCGCGGGGCGGCCTCCACCGTTTTCGCCAAATGGCCGTTTTTCGCGCGCGGCCGGCGTCGCCCCGGGAAAGTCGTGTCGCTGCGCTCCACGACTTTCTCCCGGGCTCCGCCGGGGTGTGGTTGCCGCGCGGGTGGCAACCCGTCTCTCTCCCTCCTTTCTGCGCGCGCAGCGCGCGATTTTTTCGGCTGGAGGGCCGTTTTAAACGATTTCTGAGCCCTTCTTCGAGCCGTGGCGGGGGGCGTCTAACCCTAGCTTAACCCTAACCCTTACCTTCCCTCCGCTTCCGCCTCGGCCCGTAACCCTAACCTAACCCTGACCTAACCCTGACCTAACCCTAACGACACCCTCTCCAACCCTAACGGTGCCAGGGAGCGACGGACCTGCGCGGAGAGAGATGGCCCTGCGCGCCGGAGGCGATCGCGTGGCAACAAACGTGGCGTCGGCGAGAGGTGGAGGTGATGGCGGGAGAGATCGCCGAGCGTCACGGCGGCAATCTGTCGGCCGATGCGATGCCGCCGCCTCGCCGTTGCTCCTTGGCGCTCCTTGGCGCAGCGAGCGCTGGAGCGAAGACCTGGGGAGTCTAGCGTCAGAGCGGCGCGACTGCGCCATCGAGGTGGCAGCTGGAACGAGCGGCGCGAGAGACGGCAGACGCTATCCACTCCAGGTAGATGCGAAGAACCTAGTAGCGACAGCACGAAGCGTGAGCCCGTGGGAGCGAGGGGAAGGAGCGTTGGTGCACTGTTCTCGAATATTGGCGAGCGAGGCAGGGCGAGAATGGGGAAGCGAGAATGGGGAAGCGATCCAGACGTGACAGAGGCGAAGGCGGCGGCGAAGGCGGCGGCGAGTGCAAGAGAGCGAGTCCGAGTCGCACGCACACGGAGATGCAACAGCTACGCAGTGGTGCGAACGGTGTGGAGGCGTTGCGTGGGTGCACGCTGCACGCTCCTGCACGATCGTGTGTACTTGTTACGTGAAAACCCGCTGGGACCCGATCGTGTGCGAAGGGCGGCCCGCCGAAGAAGAATTTTGGTAAGAGCAGCCTTCCGGGAGAAGAAAATTATCGCGCGGAAAAAGCGAGAATCGACGCGAGATCCGTTGATGGGATGAAGAAAAAGAAAAGAAACTCGCGCTGCCGCGAAGAGGCCTGTGCTCTCGCTCGTTCGCCGAGAGAGAGAGAGAATTCTTGATACGAAACTCTCTCTCTCTCTCTCTCTCTCTCTCGTTCGCCCTCATTCTGACGGTCAGAACCGGCTCTCGTGTGCCTGACGCACAGGCCCGCCTGAGGCTGCACTCGTGCGGCGGAGATGCATTGCGGCGCGTCAAGCCGCGGCGGCGGCCGCCGCCGATACCACGACCATGGAGTATGATAGGTGTGGCGTGGCGGTGGCGGTGGCGGCCGTTAGGGGGTGATTTGGAGACGGTGTGGCGACGGTGGCGTCTTCGGAAGGTCGTCTCCAACCTCACGGCGGCAAAAAGAAGCGCAGATGAAGCGGCCGCCGACCACACAGGGTTGTGCGAATAGGCGCTTCGCGAGGGCGTCGAGATGGCAAAAAATCGAGTTCACGCGTCTGAGGTGTGAAGAGACGCCGTTCACAGTCTGAGGTGTGAACAGGGCACACCGCATCACCGTTTTTCGCAGTGTGTGCTGCGCGTGTGCTTCTCCCCGTGCTCGCGTCTTCAGCGTGGCGCTCAGCGTCGCTTAAGCCGGGGAGATTTGGTAAAATTGTGGTTCGCGGTTGACGGTGTGAAGAGACTCCGTTCACACCTTTTGCTATGAATAGGGCTCGAGGCGCCGATTCGTCAGACGCCGTGCAAGGGGCATGTCGCACGTGTGCTGCGCTACACACGTTCGGCGCCGGTAGCACGGCGCGGAGCGCCCTTGGCGCGGCGAGAAGGCGATTGACGGCGTTCACGGTGTTGAGGTGTGAAGAGGTGCCGTTCACACTTTGTGCTATGAACAGGGCTTGGCTCGCCGACTCGTGAGACGGCCTTCGCGGTGCATGGGCAGCGCGTGCTCCTCTGCACGCGCCGCGCTCTCTTTGCGGCGCGCAGCGCCCCTAGAGCGGCTTGACGGCGAAAAAATGACTTAGCGGTTTCGAGGTGTGAAAAGACGGTTCTCACACTTTTCGACTCGGATAGGGCTCGAGGCGCCGTTTTATCAGACGCCGTGCAAGTGGCGTGTCGCACGTGTGCTGCGCTGCACGCTCGGCGCCGTTTGCACGGCGCGCAGCGCCCTTGGGGCGGTGAGAAGGCGCCGGACGGTGTTCACGGCTCGAGGTGTGAAGAGGCGCCGTTCACACTCTTTGCTATGAATAGGGCTCGGCTCGCCGACTCGTGAGACGGCCTTCGCCGTGCGTGTGCAGTGTGTGCTCCTCTGTACGTGCCGCGATCTCCACGTGGCGCGCAGCGCCGCTAGAGCGGCTTGACGGCGAAAAGACTTAGCGGTTTCGAGGTGTGAAATGACGGTTCTCACACTTTTCGACTCGGATAGGGCTCGAGGCGCCGTTTCAGCAGACGCCGTGCAAGGGGCGTGTCGCACGTGTGCTGCGCTGCACGATCGGCGCCGTTAGCACGGCGCGGAGCGCCCTTGGGGCGGTGAGAAGGCGCCGGACGGTGTTCACGGCTCGAGGTGTGAAGAGGCGCCGTTCACACTCTTTGCTATGAATAGGGCTCGGCTCGCCGACTCGTGAGACGGCCTTTACCGTGCGTGTGCAGCGCGTGCTCCTCTGCACGCGCCGCACTCTCTTTGCGGCGCGCAGCGCCGCTAGAGCGGCTTGACGGCGAAAAAATGACTTAGCGGTTTCGAGGTGTGAAATGACGGTTCTCACACTTTTCGACTCGGATAGGGCTCGAGGCGCCGTTTTATCAGACGCCGTGCGATTGGCGTGTCGCACTTGTGCTGCGCTGCACGCTCGGCGCCGTTAGCACGGCGCGCAGCGCCCTTGGGGCGGTGAGAAGGCGCGGGACGGTGTTCACGGCTCGAGGTGTGAAGAGGCGCCGTTCACACTCTTTGCTATGAATAGGGCTCGGCTCGCCGACTCGTGAGACGGCCTTCACCGTGCGTGTGCAGCGCGTGCTCCTCTGCACGCGCCGCGCTCTCTTTGCGGCGCGCAGCGCCGCTAGAGCAGTTTGACGGCGAAAAAATGACTTAGCGGTTTCGAGGTGTGAAATGACGGTTCTCACACTTTTCGACTCGGATAGGGCTCGAGGCGCCGTTTTATCAGACGCCGTGCGAGTGGCGTGTCGCGCGTGTGCTGCGCTGCACGATCGGCGCCGTTTGCACGGCGCGCAGCGCCCTTGGGGCGGTGAGAAGGCGCGGGACGGTGTTCACGGCTCGAGGTGTGAAGAGGCGCCGTTCACACTCTTTGCTATGAATAGGGCTCGGCTCGCCGACTCGTGAGACGGCCTTCACCGTGCGTGTGCAGCGCGTGCTCCTCTGCACGCGCCGCGCTCTCTTTGCGGCGCGCAGCGCCGCTAGAGCGGCTTGACGGCGAAAAAATGACTTAGCGGTTTCGAGGTGTGAAATGACGGTTCTCACACTTTTCGACTCGGATAGGGCTTGAGGCGCCGTTTTATCAGACGCCGTGCAAGGGGCGTGTCGCACGTGTGCTGCGCTGCACGCTCGGCGCCGTTTGCACGGCGCGCAGCGCCCTTGGGGCGGTGAGAAGGCGCCGGACGGTGTTCACGGCTCGAGGTGTGAAGAGACGCCGTTCACACTTTTGGCGACGAACAGGGCTCGGCTCGCCGACTCGTGAGACGGCCTTCACGGTGCGCCTGCAGCACGTGCTCCTCTGCCACGCGCCGCGCTCTCAACGCGGCGCGCAGCGCCGTTCAAAAGCGGCTTGACGGCGAAAAAAGACTTAGCTGCTTCAAGGTGTGGAGAGACGATTCTCACACTTTTCGACTCGGATAGGGCTCGAGGCGCCGTTTCAGCAGACGTCGCTTAGGGGGCGTGCTGAGCGTGTGCTGTGCTGCACGCTCGGTGCTGTTGGCACGGCGCCCTTTGCCCTCGGAGCGGTGAGATGGCGCCGGACGGTGTTCACGGTGTCGAGGTGTGAAGAGGCGCCGTTCACACTTTATGCTGTGAACAGGGCTGTGATTGCCGACTCGTGAGACGGCCTTCACGGTGCGTTCGCAGCGTGTGCTCCTCTGCCACGCGCCGCGCTCTCAACGCGGCGCGCAGCGCCGTTCAAAAGCGGCTTGACGGCGAAAAAGGACTTAGCTGCTCCGAGTTGTGAAGAGACGATTCTCACACTTTTCGACTCGGATAGGGCTTGAGACGCCGATTTATCAGACGTCTTGCAAGGGGCGTGTCGCGCGTGCGCACTTGGTTGCACATATGCAGTCTGCACGCAACGGCTCTCGGCCACACACCAAACAAAATCGTCACTCCTGCACCACTCTAGAGACAGAGGGGAGCGAGAGATACTATAGAGAAACCTACCTACCTTCACCAACCGAGTGCGCGCTATAGAGGCCAAGCCCCCCGCGACGCCGCCAAGGCTCCAAGGAGGCGCGAGGCTCATCGGGAGACGAGCGGAGCTGGCCAACCCCCCCCCCCCCCCCTTCCCCCGCCCCCGCCGCCCCCGCCCTTCCCCTAGCGCTGCCCGCCGTCGGCCGGCAGCCCAAAGTGGTTCGCGGTGAACGCGCGCTCGTCTGCCGTCAGCTCGCTCGGAAAGTCGATCTGCAGCGTGACGCGCAGGGCGCCGTATTCGGAGGGGACGCCGTGCCTAATGAACGGACGGATCCGTGAACGAGCCTCGTGGATTGGGGCGC